TACAGTGGTTTGCAACCGTCAGATAATCATATTGGTTTTGATGATGACAACACTTTATGTTTAACGACATTTAATTAAGTCCTTATCTATCAATAATAAAAAAATCTCCTTTTGAGATCAAATTTCAAGTCACTTTAAAGATGACAACACCTAAAGTCAAATGACATTTGGTAAAGTCTTTGGTGATAATGTCCAACAGCCTATTAATCAAATAAGTTATCTTAAACTTTATCAATTATGAATAGTCAAGTTCCAAATAAAGTTCTAAATCAATGATGAATTAAGTAAGGGAACTTGAAGCTTCAAAATTGTGAAAGAGGGAAAGTGTGAAAGATTATTTAGTCTTGTGCTTAGTTCCTCTCTCTCTCACATACATACATGCGCGTGCGTTGTAACACCCCAATTTTTAGTAATTATTTATTTAATTAAATTAATTTATTAATTGTGTGATTTTGTGCCTAATTGAATTAACTAATTTATGTGATTTATTTGAATTAAATGATTTAGTTGATATATTTGAATTAGTTGATTTATTGAATTTATACGAATTAATTGATTTAATTGATATATGTGATTTATTGAATTAAATTAATTTATGTGATTTATTTTATTGGTATAATAAAATGTAGAATTGCTAAAATTAATAGTTTGACTTATTTTGGAGTGTGAATAGTAAGTGTGAGATTGAGTTAGTAAGACCCAATTGAGTTAAGACAAATGATAGGGTTTAACATAGAGTAAGAGGAGAATAGAAAGAAAATAAAAGATAGAAAGGAGGAAAAGAGGCAAAGAGAGAAGTGGAGAAGAATAGGAGAAAACTCAAGTTCAAGAGCTCTAGAATCCAAGATAAATCAAGATAAGAGTGAATTTTTATATAATTATTGAGATGATTTGATAGTGTTTAATGGGTAGAAACATGTTTAGGTTGAAATTCTTAAATTTTCTATGAAATTGTTAAGTTTTAGAGATAATCTTTGAGATGTGTTAATTTAATTGTGTTTGAAATTAATATATTGATATACTATAGAAACCCATTCAATATTAGAATAACCCATTTAAATTTGAAATATATATATTTTTCGAAACAATAGCGCAAACAATTGGAATGAATAGAAAAAAAAGTAGTATAATCAAATGTAGCAAATATTATCCTATTTATGTTATTGCATATGAATGTAGTCCTTCTATTATCCTGTTATTATAGCAAATATTAATTGAAACACATGGAATTTCTTTGACTCATATCACTATAGCTAGGGCTGGAAATGAGTCGAGTCGAGTCGAACTCACCTCAGCTCGGCTCGACTCGTTAAGAATTGTTCGAATTCGAGTTCGAGTTCGAGTTCGACACGAACTTTTTTTTAAGCTCAAACTCGACTCGTTATAAGTTCACGAACAGTTCGGCTCGACTCGTTAGGTTCATCTCATTAGGTTCAGCTCACATGGTTCACGAACTTAAAAACTATTTTTTTAAATATATATATTTTTTAGTATATTTGACATTTTAAATAAATATATATTTTTAAAATAAAATATTAAAATAAAATAAAAGTTATCATATTGAAATTTAACTTTATCTTCGAAATCTACTACTTCAAAACCTACACAACTTTCAAGAGATACATTTGAGAGTCTAATTCAAAAACTAATAAATTGAAGATTAAATTTGTCTAAGATTTGAAGTAAATATTTAAACCTAATCTTAAAGACAGTATAATTCTTTTCATATGTAATCGAGTTGACTCATGAACCTAACGAGTCGAACTATGTATAGTTCAAGTTCAGCTCATTTAGTTAACGAACTTAATTTTTCGCTCATACTCAACTCATTTGGTTCATGAACCTAGTTCAACGATTTAATTGTCGAGTCGAATTCCGAACTATCTTCGAGTTGGTTTGGTTCATTGCCAGCCCTAACTATAGCGCATGAGATATATAATTGAAATATAACCAATTACCTTGTCTTATTATCAATATTATAATTGATAGAAAATACCATTTCATAACAGCACATACCGCACTTGTACTAATGCAAGAATCAATTTTTAGACAAGTTATCCATATAAATTCATTAGTATGTAATATGTATAAACTCACATACTAAATGTTGGAACTTTACTAATTATTAAAATTATATTAAATATTAATTATTTATTTAAATATTAACTATTTATTTAAATATTAATTATTCATTTTAATGTTTTTTTATTTAAGTATTGATTAATTATTAAAATAGTGATTGTTTGTTAAAATAATGATTATTTATTAAAAATTTGATTGTTTATTGAAAATTGAATAATTATTGAATATTGAATTGAGTAGTGAATATTTATTGAATATCGAATTTCTAATTATTGGTGATTGATTAATTATTCTATATTAATTAGTGATGTGTATTTTATGAATTGAGATTGAATTGTGTTGATATTTGTTTATGTGCAAATGTGTGGTAATTCAAGTGTGATGAATTATTGAAGATATGCATGAATGTTAAGATTATGAAACGATCTTAATTTCATATGATTGTTGAATTTGCATACGCATCATTTGTGTCAATAGGCAATGCTTGTTAGTTTCGTGGGAGCCAGTGACTTGTCCCAAACCTAGAGCGGAGTTTGAAAGCTTAGGGAACAAGCTTTTTGTGTGTTATTGGTCTAGGGAACGGACCCGATTTAAATGTAAAAACCGAAAAATAATAGCAAGTGTTGGTACCACATGACATGAGTTGCATTGAGTTTTGCATTGAGTCTCATTGTGTATATGCTTGTGCTATGAGATTATGTGTATCTATGTGAATTGTTAAAATTGGTGAAATTGTGGATGTATATACTTGTGAGTGGTATGGTTACTTGAGCGATATTTTGTTGATGAAACTTTGAAGTGTGAGAATAATTGAATTATGCTTGTATGCTTTAGATTAATTATTATCTTATAATTTCAATAATTATGTGAATTCTCACCCTTCTGTTAGAATGACGTTTTATACGACATCGCTCAGGTACCGAGGAGTATAGTTGCTTCTAGTGGAGGTAGTCGTTGAAGTAGCTTGATTTATGTCTTTATTTATTTTGGATTGAGTCATGCTCTACTTATGTAACACTGGGGAATATTTCGATTTCATGTTTTGAGAGATACTTTGTGTACTCTACTTCATTCTGCTATTGTTGTTTTGAATTATATGAAGTATTGACTTTTAAGCCTAAGTATTGATTATGAATGAGATGAGCATGAGATTTTCATTATGTCTATTATGATTGAAGTAAATTCGTTGCTACATGCTAATGTGAAAGTGTATGAAAAGCATGAAGTTATTTAAGTGTTATTGAGCATGACATGATGTTTTGAAAAATTATGTGACACCCTTTTGTGAGATGCATGATAATTACTCTGATTTATTTATATATATTTCACATGGTTTAGAAAGGTGTTACACGCACGCGCGTACACACACACACAAATATGTTTCGAAGCCTCTCTTATTTGATAAAATACCTAATAATATTTTTATATGTGTCATTAGTTAATTATTAACTTATTTAATCAATTATATGGACTTTTAACATTAGTTAACCAATTAACTGATTATGATTAATTGATTAACAAATTTGTAATGCGTCTAATCAATTAGAGATGATAAATCTCTTGCATTGTTTCCTTTTCAATCCATTTTTCTCCTGTATATAGAGGGTTTATCCTCTCTTTATTATACATCCGATTTTAAATTAGAAACTCTTCTATCTCATTTTATACCCTCTTCTTCTCTATTTTCTAATTCTTCACTAAAGTTTCCTTAATGCCAAGATAATGAAAATGCTTATGAGAGTTCAGTTGTACTAGTGTTGCGTTAAGTTTGTATTTTACTCAAGAGGGTGCTTTCTCTTGATTTATATATTTGTAATAAGTTTTTGTTTTGTTCTTGAGCTTATTTAACCATATGCTCTCTGTTTGGTTTTTTAGATTAGTCTGTTAAAGTCTTTGTTTGGTTCTTGAGATTAGCATGATAAAATCTCTATTTGGTTATTGAGTTTAGCATGTGAAAAAATATATTTAGTTCCTAAGCTTAGCCTTGTATAACTTTATTTGGTTCATGAGATTAACGAGTTAAAATTTTTGTTTGATTGTAAGAAAGTTCGTGAGGTTAACTTGTGAAAAACTCTCATCTCTTTTAAAAAATTCTCAAGAGGAAACTCTTAGGAATACAAGTAAACCAAATAATTAGATTGAACCTGTATAAATATCAGGTGCATTTTTTCTTTCCATGATCTCTTTATTTTCCATCACTTTATTTTCTTTACGTGTATATCTCTTTCTCTCGATCTCTTTTTAATTCTTTATTTCATATACTCGGTCGCTTATTCTGTGTTTATTTTATCAAATTAACTTTAACGATTTTATAAACCAAATTTTTATTGGACATATTTTTTAACCAACACAACTCACGTCTCCTTGGTGTTTGGAGTCACCTGGTCTACATATTTTAGAAGTGAGGCCACCATGCACCAAGAACAAGTTGTAGGGTATCTTGGAAAAAATTAAATTTTATGAAGAGGTCCATATCCACTTGGGGTTATGAATGCGAAAAAACTAAGGCAATCTTAGAAAGCGAGACCACCATGCACCAAGAAAGGTTGTAAGGTCTCTTGGAACAACTAATTTTAATTTATATTTCATAATTTATGCGTATGCAACACTTTTTAGATTAAACTTTTACTTCATCGCTTGCAATGAATTACTTACTATTGATTTCATACATCATCGGTCTACAATGCTGTAATTACTTAAAATCAAAAGCTGGCCATATATAATCATAAATGTAACTGATGATAACATATTTATACATATACATATGTTGATTTGGCTTTTTGCATGTGCTTCCAAGCTCAATAATGTGAGAAAGTAACAATTTGTTGAATTTAATGGAGTTAACTTAACTCTATCGATTAATTGTCATTAACAAATTCAAACAACTAATGTTTTGGTCACTATATTAATAAATCTGCTTAAGTAGCAACTACAAATCCTTCTTGAGAATCTCCAAACACTTGGTTCAGAATCATGGCTAATCGAATTCCACCTTGAGCAATTCGTTTCATCACAAATGGCATCCTTGAGTCGAAGTACTCTTCTGCAAAATCCACACACACAACAAAATTCATTAACATATACTGAATCTGCTAAACTCATGCTAACCATAGTTGAACTAACCGAACCAATTGAATCATGATTCAAAGGTCTAAAGAGAAGAAGTGATTAAATTTGAATTACCTGCAAGAGTCGTTCCAGATTTAACTCCTTCATAACCCCATTTGCAAGCAATTTGTATGCTCTCTTTAGCCCAACTGTATGATTAGTCCAAAACATATAAGAAATCTAAACATTAACAACAAAGAGCCAAATAAATTGATTGAATTCAAAATGAAAGAGAAAAAGTTCTCACTTATTCACACAAAGAGATATATCATTACAATGCTCCCATGAAGCAACATCTTCTGACCATATTCCCTGTATACAAGAAATAATAACTTGTTGATTTTATTTCTAATCAATCAAAAAATCCACGCGCGACAACAAAGTTTGATTATTCTTACATTGGTATAGTTTTTCTCAATGTCTTGGAGGAGGAGTGTCACATCTTTGTCATAATAATCCTTTAATGCAGTGAGAATAATTTCTCTGTCCCACACCTTATAATCATAGACAACATAAAAACAAAAAGTCAGTTTCCTTTGCCTCGAAGAATCTTGAATTTGCTAAGCGAAACTGTTTTGTAAACAAGTCTGCTAGTTACATTCTTTTACTTACATGATGCAGATTAGATTTGTGCCTATACCAGCGTAGATTTATCGTGTTTCCACCTTTGTCCGAGGTGAATCCAACATGCATCGGCTGAAAAAGAATAATAATTTTACCAAATTAGTCTTATTGAGTGTATTCACTACTATTATGATAAATATAAAATGAACGAAATTAAAGATCGTTATTAGACAAACCTGATGAATATCTCCCATGAAATGTGACAAGAACAATAATGCTTCAGTCATATTATCTGCAATTACTCAAATATTCAATATTAAATAAAAAATTTAAAACAGAAAAAAATCATCGACACGAGACCCTTCTTACATCTCCGATCAGACGTTCCTTCTTTGTAATGTGAAAGTTGAGAAGTGAAATTTTTGATAGCTCCGGCAACACACATATCTTCATGACAATCCCCTATGTTTGTTAACATAAAAAATTCTTGCATTAATAATAGACATTTTTGAGATTTAATAAGAACATGAACATGTTAGATATCAAAATAACTAGATATAAATAATGCTTACTTGAATACTGAAAACCACATTTTTTATCAGGCGTGTCGATGAAATGAAGTGGACTAGTCCATTTATATTTGTACCAGTGTCTAATTTGGTCTGGCCATACACATAATGCTGATAGATTACCATTCACAGAGGGAGGTAACAAATGATGAATTGCTTCTGATGCTTCAGGTTTTAAAAGTGCCTATAAATTCGTAAAAAAAATCGTATTTAAACATAAATTACTTTGCATTAACGTTAGAACCGATTTTTGATATGTTTGTTACCTGTGCAATTAGACATGTCATCTCATGACCCTCTTTGCTCCATCCAGTGACACCAGGAAGTATAATAAAAGAAGAACATAACAACAACAGAAATCCAAATGGAAGAGACACCATCAAGCCTTTGAATCTAGCCATATCTAACATTTTCCAATGATCTTATATGTTTTAATTTGTTTTCCTTATGAAGGGTACATTACATGCATTATATAGTTGCATTTATAGGAAAATTAGCTTCAAAGGACACGTTATGGGATGTTATTGAGTACAAGATTGAAACACCTATGTGTTTAAGTTAAGTTTCAAGTTGACCTTAAGTACCATTGGAATGGCATATTCCGGTATATACAAGGTAGCAGAGACATTATATAATATGTAAATAATTGAGACATGTGAAATAGTGTTGTGAATTGGGTGTTGAGTAAAAGGAAACGTAATTAGCGTTTTGAGAAATTAGAGTTCTTTGCTTATGGTACACTGTTGCCTACTAACATGCAATTGCAAGCAACCTGTTTGTGGTCACAATATCCATGACTCAATGATACAATTATAGTCACGATAAGGGAATATTCTCATTTAAAAAGAAAAATGAATATTGCATAATTTATGACTCATACGTGTAATTCTAAAGCTCAATGAAATTATCGATTCGATCAAGGGTGTCCAAAAATATAATTAGTTGAAATATATTTTTAAACTGAATTGTAATTAATAAAAAAAGTTAAATGATTTAAATAATTATGGACTGAATCACATATATAAACAATGAAATTAATTAAATAAAATAAAATATTAGTTTAAACTTAGAAATTATTTTTTATATTTAATTTTTTTATATAAATATATTTAAACAAAAATTATTATTTTGTATTCAATTTTATTTTATATATTTTTTATCGGTAAACAAGGTGACAATAAGTTAAACATACAACAATATGTATTATAGTTTAAATTTTGATGATGATGTCCAAATTAAAGATTTTTTTTTTCTTTTGCAAACTTAGTTTTACATATTAAATCTACTTAAAAGATAAATTTATTTTACTAAAACCAAACAAGCATATATTGAAGTCAAGGAAGTTTTACCCCATACCCCTACACTTATACCGATACCCCTACATTAAAAAATTTTGGACCAAAATATCCTCGTATAAAAATTTATTATTTTTTATTTTTTTTTATATTTTTTTATTTGTTTACCGGAAGACTTTTTGGAAGTCTTCCGGTTCACATTTTTTTAGTATGTTTACCGGAAGACTTTTTGGAAGTCTTCCGGTACATATTTTTTTTCGTTTGTTTACCGGAAGACTTTTTGGAAGTCTTCCGGTTCATGTTTTTTTTTAATTTGTAATTAATATTTAAGATTTATTAATTTTATATAAAGACCAATTTAGTAAATTTTTGAATATTATACTTAAAATATAAAAATTCTATAAATAGAGAATCATTTTCAGAATATTTTCTATTTACTATAATTATTAGAATACTAGGATTAAAATCATTTATTTTAAATGATCATAATAGTAGAATTTTCTCAAATATCTTATTAATCTTAAACATTAATAAATAAAATAAATTTAAATATAAGATATAAGTTTACATTATTCAATATATTTAATCAAATGAAAACATATGTGATAAATAAATAATGTATTTTAACTTAAAATGATCACAATAAGTTAACTTGCAAAATAATATAAGTAATAAATTAATAATGTATTTTATTTAAAATAATCACAATAATAAAATACGCAAATAATGTGTTTTATTTATAGGACTGATATAGTTTTATTAATTATTTAATTTTAAATACTACTATGAATATAATATTTAATCTATACTTTAGAACTCACATAATTATAAATATAAAAAATATTGTTTTATTACCCATATTTTTATTTAATTAAAAAAAATAAGAATATAAATTTATTATTTGTTTTTCATTTTTGTTTGATCTTTTTAATTATTTCACTTTATTTAATATTTTTAATAAAATAAATAATATATTTTATTTAAAGTAAGCACAATATAGAATATGCAAAAAATTTATAAATAAAAAAAAGATCAAACGAAAATGAAAAACAAATAATAAATTTATATTCTTATTTTTTTTAATTAAATAAAAATATGGGTAATAAAACAATATTTTTTATATTTATAATTACGTGAGTTCTAAAGTATAGATTAAATACTATATTCATAGTAGTATTTAAAATTAAATAATCAATAAAACTATATCAGTCCTATAAATAAAACACATTATTTGCGTATTCTATTATTGTGATTATTTTAAATAAAATACATTATTAATTTATTACTTATATTATTTTGCAAGTTAACTTATTGTGATCATTTTAAGTTAAAATACATTATTTATTTATAACATATGTTTTCATTTGATTAAATATATTGAATAATGTAAACTTATATTCTATATTTAAATTTATTTTATTTATTAATGTTTAAGATTAATAAGATATTTGAGAAAATTTTACTATTATGATCATTTAAAATAAATGATTTTAATCTCATTGTATTCTAATAATTATAGCAAATAGAAAATATTCTGAAAATAATTCTCTATTTATAGAATTTTTATATTTTAAGTATAATATTCAAAAATTCACTAAATTGGTCTTTATATAAAGTTAATAAATCTTAAATATTAATTACAAATTAAAAAAAAAAAATGAACCGGAAGACTTCCAAAAAGTCTTCCGGTAAACAAACGAAAAAATATGAACCGGAAGACTTCCAAAAAGTCATCCGGTAAACATATGGAAAAAAATGTGAACCGGAAGACTTCCAAAAAGTCTTCCGGTAAACAAATAAAAAAATATAAAAAAATTAAAAAATAATAAATTTTTATACGAGGATATTTTGGTCCAAAAATTTTTAATGTAGGGGTATAGGTACAAGTGTAGGGGTATGAGGTAAAACTTCCTGAAGTCAATAAGCTTTGAATAGTTTCTCACTCTGATGGGCCTTGATAGTTTTGGCCCAATAAAAGCCCAACAAGCCCACAAAAATCAAAACCCTAGTTAGTGTAACCATAACACAATATATTGAAGCCAGAAACCAGTAGAGAAACCCTAGCGAACTCTAGCATCAGCGGCACCTTGAGAGAAATAAAAAATGAAGTTCAATCCACGAGTGTCGAGCAGCCGCCGCAAGAGCCGCAAGGCTCATTTCACGGCGCCATCCAGCCTCCGCCGTGTTCTCATGAGCGCGCCTCTCTCCGCCGACCTCCGCGCCAAATACAACGTCCGCTCTATGCCGGTGAGGAAAGACGACGAAGTTCAGGTCGTTCGTGGTACCTTCAAAGGCCGTGAAGGTAAGGTTACGCAGGTTTACAGGCGTAAGTGGGTGATTCACATCGAACGCATCACAAGGGAGAAAGTGAATGGATCTACCGTGAATGTTGGTGTTAACCCTTCGAAGGTTGTTATCACGAAGCTGAGACTCGATAAGGATAGAAAATCGCTTCTTGATAGGAAGGCGAAGGGACGTGCTGCTGCTGATAAGGAGAAGGGTACCAAGTTTGCTCCTGAGGATATTATGCAGAATATTGATTAGTCTTTCTCTTTTTTGAGTATTTGTGTTTTTTGATTTTGGTATTAGAAAATTATTATATCAAACTTTGAGAAGTTGCTCTGTTGACAATTGTTCTGGTTTAATTTGTTTATGTTAATCAAACTTTTTGATATATCTATCTGCCTTTGATTTTATTAATCCACTGTTTAATTGTTGGGTTTGATTTAATTGTGTTAATTTTGTACATGGTTTAATAATTGCTGCTATAATTTGGATTTGTTAATATTTATATTCGTTAGGCTATGGTTTGGTTTATGATATTGTCTGATTCTGTCTCCTTAGAACTATGGATGATGAGGTTATCAATTTAACAGTTATCCCTGGCTGATGATTCAGGTGCTGATAATTTGTGATCTGACATGTTTCTGGTAGTCTTACTCTGATTTTATGAAGTTGCATTTGATTATACTGATTTGTTCTGGTCTGTATTGGTAGCATTGTTCTTGTTTAATTTTAAGCAACTTTTACTCCATATGATTAGTCCTCCTAAGTTTGATTATACAATTTGTGGTGCACGGTGCACTGTTAGTTGTTTCTCCCATTTTCTTGTTTCTTACTGAATTTTTCTTGGGCAATTTTGCAATCCCTGTTTTGATTTTTAATTCATCTAGGTAGTTTATTTTTCCAGCTAAGTGCTTTGGATGATGAGATTAACAATTTTACAGTTATCCCTGTCTGATAAACTTGATGATGAAATTGTTTACTCTGACATATACTTAGCCTTCAATTTAGTTTCATTTTGTATGAGTCTGATTCTAAGGTTACTTACAACTAATATTTTATTTAATGTGAAGTTTTTTTTATATCAAAATGGTATAATGGTGAGATAAACAATTTTACAGTTATCCTTGTCTGATAAGCTAAAACTGTGTAGATGACATATTCTCTCTGGTTCTAATTTATTTGAACTTGTGTCATTTTGATTACTATTTTTGCTTGATAAAGAAGATATTTCAGTTCTTGTTTGAACTTAAAATACATGTTATATCATATGTTGAATGTATGCCATATTTCAATTGGGGCTATTTGATGAAATTGTTATTTGAAAAATTAATGTTTTGATATATACTATGGGATTAGTTAGTATGAACTTTTACATTTGCGATTCATCACCATTTGCATTATTTAAAATTCAATATTTTTTTACATACAATATCTAATAATTGATAGTGTTTTACAATGAAATTGTATTATAATTAAATCTATATTTTTTAAAATGTCATAAATTGGTTGATTTGAAAGAAATATTTTTTGTTATTTGCTTGAAGATGTGTCTTTTTATTAATTATTCTGACTCTAATTTTCAGTATTATATACACCTAGTTACCGATAAATGAATATGTTGCCTGATATAGCAACAGATAAACCACCATTTGCTTTTATAATGTTTTGTTAAACTATATGATATTATTTATTTTTGAGTTATGTTTTTTGTTTGTGAATTATAACAAGAAAAAAGAATTTGTCATAAGTTGTCTTATAGGTTTATTTTAATATTTGAGGTGTGCTATTTTGACACCCTGCTATATGTTACACCGTATAAATTTTAACACTTTTTGTGGTACAAATTGAATAAACAAAATGTGTATCCTGTATACATAACATTAAGGTGTGGGTGTTAAAAATGGGTGTCATAATATTTTTTCTCTTAATATTTATATAGTCAGAAATATGCGTATGGAACAATTACAATTTTTTAATAGTTTAGTTTTATATTAAACGCTTTATGTTATAATATAGTTAATCAATTTAGTAATACACATAAGGAGAAATTATCAAGTTCAGTTGTGGATTATATGAGCTTTTTAAAACGTTTTGACACACTCTCGGGTGTAGCGCTTATATTATATAACTATGGGTAGTTCTAATGGATTTTTAATATATATATATATATTTTAATTTTTCTGTTTAAATATCAATCTTACAATTCAAAAAATATTTTTTTTTTGACTTTTTTCTTTTTAATACCAATCTTAGAATTTCAAATATAAAAACATGTTTCCATCATTTTTCTTCGTTTCTTTCTTAACATTTTTGTCCACCTTCTTATCTTTTCAAAAGAAGTGTTAGAATGAGAAATTTGTTGTGTGGTTGATTTTAGATTTGAATCATTTGATTCAAATCTAATTTACTGTGTTTATTAGAAGTGTTTTCACACTCCATAGTTGTTTTTGCAAACGTGAGCCACGTGAGCAACTTACTTGAAACACTTTAAAGTAGTATATTCTCTGATTTCTAGAAGTGAATGTCTTTATCCTCTTTTATCCTTTGCAACGCAAATTATTCAAATTTAAAATGGACGCATGCATACATTTGTGTAGAAATAACTTGTTTCTCTTAGTTGTTTTCTTTGCAATGTTACAAAAATGCACCTTGAGTGTTTTTTTTGCAATGTTACAAAAATGCGACCTCTCAAACTGAAACTAAATTCTTCCTAAATAGGCATGAAAATAATTGTTGCTTTGCTGTTGACTATTCACAGTTTGCCACACGTCCATCCATACACACACATTTTGTAATTTTTGGCTTCGACTTTGATCTGTATAGTTGACCGTCGAACTTGCTTCGACTGGGCCCATATGTCCTTTTTCCTGTCTTGCCCGTTGAACCTCTTCGACGACGTCGGTCTATTTCGACGCTTCTTTGTTTGTGATGCAAAGTTTCTGCCTTTGATTCACTTTTTTTTCTAGTTGAAATTTGCTAGCTAACAAATTGCCCCCTAAAAGGCCAATTTAGACCGAGATTATCTTTGACTGGGAAATTTGGCGTTTTATTCTTGTCAAATTTCGACTCTGTCTAATCTGCTGACATCACGCGTAATGATAGCAACTTTCTGGGTTATGATTTTCAAGGAACAGTCCATCACTTTTGATGATTTCGATTATTCCCTATGTTGTGGGTTTTTCAACTACCCCCACTAGTTTTTCCACTACAGTGAAACAAAACAGTCATAAACCACCATCGACTGCTACTTGGCTACCATCACCGTTCGAGTTTTACACTTATAAACACTTTTTCCACATCTTTTGTTTCTTTCCTTCTTCTTTGCACCAATTTTCTGCAACTTTCAGAGAATCATAACTTTCTTCGCTATTCTTCTTTTTCCTCACATTGTTATGGCTTCTACTACACACAACATCGGTAACAACCCTATATCATTCGTCCCTACTGAAGAAAAGGGTCTAAAAACTATTCTTTAACCACTGTCACCTGACAAATCTGCGACGGAGAACTGACAACAACAAATGCTTATTCCTTTCATTGTTGTTGAAAAACGTTTTGCCTTCCATGGGTCGTATCCAGATGAAAAGACACACCCAAAAAAGGTACTTTCCTTGTTATACTTTTGGCGTTCCACCTGCTTTCGTAAAGAATGGTTCGCTCGATTTGAAGTTCATGGATCCAAATGTTAGGGTTTTTCGGTCGATATCTACTCCGGGCAATAAGGATTATTTGGCTTGGCTCGTCAGGGTTCAAAGCAAACGTCAAGAACAATGAAAAATAGCCTACATCTTTGACGCCATCTAGATATCGAGACATGCCCACAAAGTTAATCCCTGCATGCTGCTTGCTTCAATTTACTTCTAGGGAGGTTCGACTAATACCTTCCAACTTTCTTGTGGTATGTTAACACGTACCGTTTTCGACGTGGCAGCCGTTATTGGCTTCTCACCTTTGGGTGAAACTTTTTACTTAACTCTTTCGACTAAGAACACTTTTTCTTTCAATCGTGTAAGTCTCAAACATTATATAAAAAACCACTATGTCCAAGATTTTGAAGAAGTTTCTGATAGGGAACACATTACTTTTTTAACTCTTTGGCTCTCCTACTATGTGTTAGGTCCTGGCGCTTTGCAAATAACTAAGAGCTATATTAGTTTAGCGATCCATATACATGAGGGTCAACAAGTTTCCTTGGGAAAACTTTGGCTGGCGTCCCTTTATCATTCTTTGGGTATTGCTACTATGAAGTAAAAACTTCTTCACGCCACTCCTAAAGATTTGAATGTGTCTGGCCCCATATGACTGTTGCAACATTGGTTGAACGCCACCTTTGAGTATCAACTAGGTCATCCTGTGTCAAAGCTTATCATGCATTTGACACAAAGTCGACCAATTGAAGGCACAAGGCTTGCATAAACCACCTGTTAAGAAACTCCCAACAGGTTCATTTTTATGAAGTATACTAATATGTTTGTCGAAGCCACCGCTTTTGTTTCGGTCATGGTTCCCTTCGTGGATTGAGGCTTTGGTATGACTTGGTTTAGGGATCCTTTTCTTGGCGTTGCTCCAAAATCTGCAGCGCATTCGAATGTTGTGTGGAGAGCATTTCTAACTTCCACGATGTTGTCTTTCAGAATCGAATCTGGCTCGAAGGGTTATGGATTCATGAACTACCGACCCAATTTGGTGGCTCGACAATTTGGTTTAAGCCAAATGCTGCCAAGGTCCTTAATGTCCCATTCGACTGACATTGTGTGGGTTGGTCAACTGCTGAACGCTGACGGTCATTTGGCTTGCCTTAGTTTCACAAGACAACCCAACACCTTAAACTTCTCGTGTTCAAGTTTCAACACTCCTTCTTCACCACCAAGGAATTTGAAAAATGGTGGTCTGAATACCAGCTGCAAAGCCAACAACGAATGCTCCCTTTGAAACTATCCAAACTACTGACGTCGATAAGGCTCAGCCAAAGAAGGTAAACACTTTTTCATCGAATTTCTTTTGTTCAAAAGCAAAACAAATAGACTGTTTCTTGTCTTTGTCCTCTAGGGTCGAAAGCGCGCCCCGACTTCTATACCAGCCCTAAATAAACCTCAAAAGAAGACAAAGGCATCTTCAATTTTGAAACCACAGGTACACTGTGTTTTGGTGTCTTATGATGTTTACTTCGACTGACCTCTTACATTTCTTATTTCTTAGGTCTCTAAAGAGGCGCTGTCGCTACTTGAAAAATACGCGCAACGACGGGGAAGGCGAAA